GAGGAGGGATGGGGAGGGGGGAAGAGGAGGAGGAGGAGGAGGGAGAGGAGGAGGAAGAGGAGAAAGAGGAGGAAGACGAGGACGAGGAGGAGGAGGACCAGTGTAAACCCAAAAGTCATCAACGATATTGAATAAACCCTCCCTCCAAGCTCCCTCTTCATAGGCCTCTTCAAAGGTATCTCCACTGAGGGAACTCCCCCTCGGAAGACAACCGATTGAAGACCCTGAAGCATGTCGAAACATCGTTCTCGGGATTACATCGCCACGTATCAACCTGACTGTTGCGTATTGACAATACTGAATTGCGCCAAAACGCCAGTCACGGGATGTCAACAACGCGAATCAACGTAACCGTGGCACTCTTATAATCCTAAACCCTTCCACAACCCCAATTCTGGTACGCGGATCATGGAAATCCGTGAAACTAATGCAAAGAAAACAAAAACACCAAAACCAACAAAAAAACAAATGTGCGCGGCGCTGAAGCGAGAGCAACATTTTGAAGATGAAAGGTTGAAAACGGGTCGCCTTAATGCGTGAAACCCTGGCAAACGTTTAAAACGAATGTGCGCGGCGCTAAGACGAGAGCCACATGTTAAAAACGGGTCGCCCTCAATGCGTGAAACTCTTGCAATAATCTAACACGAATGCGCGCGGAGCTCAGGCGAGAGCCACGTTTCGTAAACCACCCGCCCTCCACCTGTAAAACTGTTGCAACTTGAAAATCTTCCGGGTCATGAATAATGAAGGAGGCTCAGGCGAAACGCCCGGCCCGCCCTAAAAACTGGCCTCGGGGTGCGACGGGGAGAAGTTATTTGTAAGGGGAAGAGGAGAAGGAGGAGGACCACTGCAAACCCAAGACGCATCAACGATGTAGCAATAAACCATCCCAACAAGGTCCCTCTTCATAGGTCCACCCTGACGATCCTGAACCGTGCCTTAACACCATCGCTAGCACTTCGCCGACGCGAATCAATGTGACTGTTGAGTCTTGACAATCCTAACCCGTGCAAGAAAACCTTTCCTGTGACTTCAGCCCTTCGAATCCTTCAAACGGTTGCAAGCTTTACAAACAAGCATGTGCGGCAATTTGGCCAAAGCGACATCTTGAAAGGAGCTGGCCCCCATCCTTGAAACTGCTGAACATAAAACGAACGTGCGCGGTGCTAGAGCGAAAGCCACATTTTGAAAACCGCCCCCCTCCCTTGGTTTCAAAGCATTGGAACTGTCAAGCTTCCTGATCACGAAGGGTGAAAAAGGCTTCAGCGAAACGCACGACCCGGCATGCGGGCACGTCTGGGGGTACGGCCTGGAAGATACATTGTCAAGGACATTGCAAATGCCAAGCTCCATGATCATGATGGGTGAGGAAATCTCAGGCGCAACGCCCAACCCAGCGGAAGCGTCTGCCCGGTCCCGATCAAAGTGCTCCAGGCGGCTGGGCGAACACGCGTCCGCTGGAGGAGGGGGAGGGGGAGGAGGAGGAGGAGGATTTTTCAACATCAACATCAAAGGAAAGGTGCACGCCCAGACAATTAGGGCGGGCTGGCTGGCCTGACGCCAGCGGAAACTAACACCTGAAATTTTGAGGAAAAGCAGAAGGAAGAGGAGAAGGAGGAGGAAGGAGGAGGAGGAGGAGGTGGAAGGAGAAGGGAGGAGGGGTCGGGAGGGGGGGAGAGAAGAAGGGGAAGAGGCAAGCGGAGGGTGGGACCGCCCACGTACCGCGCTCAGCCTCCCGCTCCCCCCTATTCCGGACTCCTCCTCCTCCCCTCTTCCTCCCGCCCGCATCCCCCTAACGTTTCCTGCCTCGTTGTGCTCCCTCATGTTCCTCATCATGTTCAGATTCATGTTCCTCATCATGTTCCTCATAAGATTATTCATCATCATCATCATCATCATCATCATCATCATCATCATCATCATCATCATCATCATCATCATCATCCTCATCATCACCATCACCACCACCATCACCATCACCATCAACGACAACCTCATCATCATTATAATCATCATCAGCATCAGCATCACCATCATCAGCATCATATCAAAACCAACATACTCACCATCATCAGCATCATCATCATCGCCAGCATCATCATCATCATCATCATCATCATCATCATCATCATCATCATCATCAGCATCAGCATCATCGCCATCATCATCAGCGGCATCATCATGATCGTCATCATCAGCAGTAGCAGCAGCAGCATCAGCATCATCAGCATCATCATCCGTGAGGACGCCTGGCACCCCAAGGTTTGCACCAACCGTGTCGAGGCCAGATTTCTGCGCTCGATCGTTCACCCGAAATGTTCAAATCATGCACATGCGTTGATCTAAGAAATGCATTATGCTACAACTCCGTCAAATCAGAGGATGCGGCCGCATGCACGTGCCCCCACGCGCGCATGTCCAATTCGTTTCAAGACATAGTTGCGACTGGCAAAGATCCAGTGCCGACGCTTGTTAGGATTTACTCCGACTGCAAGACCCCCCCCCACATCAGAATATGTTTGGCTTGCACGAGGATCTAATATCGCCCCCTCCTCGTACACCCTCCTGCTTCCTCGTTCCACTGTTGCCGTATCCTCCTGCCTCCGCCTCGTTCTGCTTCCTCATTCTCCTCATCCTCCTCCTCATCCTCCTCCACCTCCTCCTCCTCCTCTTCCTCCTCCTCCCCATGCCTCCTCCTGCCTCCTGCCTCCTACTGCCTACGGCTGCTGCTGCTGCTGCTGTTCCTCCTCGTCCTCCGCCTCCTCCTCCTCTTCGTCCTCCTCCTCCTCCTCCTCCTCCTCCTCCTCCTCCTCCTCCTCCTCTTCCTCCTCGTCCTCCTCCTCCTCCTCTTCCTCCTCCTCTTCCTCCTCTTCCTCCTCTTCCTCCTCCTCCAAGTCTGCCATGTCCTTCATATCCTGGTCCTCGTCCTCGTCGTCTTCGTCCTCCTCCTCGTCCTCCTCCTCCTCCACCTCCTCCGCATCCTCATCATCAGCATCAGCATCATCATCATCATCATCATCATCATCATCATCATCATCATCATCATCATCATCATCATCATCATCATCATCATCATCATCATCATCATCAGCATCAGCATCATCATCATCATCATCATCATCATCATCGTCATCATCAGCATCATCATCATCGGCATCTTCATCAGCATCAGCATCAAGAGCAGCAGCACCATCACCACCACCACAAGCATAATCAACAGCATCATCATCATCATCAGCAGCAGCAGCATCATCGTCATCATCATCATCATCATCATCATCATCATCATCATCATCATCCTCATCATCCTCATCATCAGCATCATCATCATCATCATCATCATCATCGTCATCATCATCATCATCATCATCATCATCAGCATCATCATCATCATCATCATCATCATCCTCATCATCATCACCATCCTCATCATCATCATCATCATCAGCATCAGCATCATCATCAGCATCATCATCGGCATCATCAGCATCATCAACATCAGCATCAGCATCAGCATCATCATCAGCATCATAATTTCCCTCAGCATCAGCATCATCAACAGCAGCATCATCGTCATCATCAGCAGCATCATCGTCATCGGCATCATCAGCAGCATCATCAGCATCATCAGCAGCATCATCAGCATCATCAGCATCATCATCATCATCATCGTCATCATCAGCATCATCTTCGGCATCATCATAATCAGCATCAGCATCATCATCAGCATCCTCATCATCATCATCAGCAGCAGCATCAGCATCATCATCATCATCATCATCATCAGCATCATCATCATCATCAGCAGCATCATCATCATTACCATCATCATCGTCATCGTCATGATCATCATCATCACCACCACCACCACCATCGACATCGTCATTATCGTCATCGTCATCGTCATCATCAGCAGCATCATCATGCTAATCATCAGCATCATCATCACATGAACAGCATCATACTCAGCAGCATCATCAGCGTTATCGTCATCGTCATCGTCAGAATCAGCATCAGCAGCAGCATCATCATCAACATTCGTACCATCATCATAAGTACCATCAGCATCATCGTCATCGTCATCATCAGCATCATCATCATCATCATCAGCATCAGCAGCATCAACATCATATTAAAAACCCGAATGATAATCACAATCATCAGCTGCATCAGCATCATCATCATCAGTACCCTAATCATCATCATCAGCATCATCAGCATCCTCATCATCATCATCAGCATCATCAACATCATCATCATCATCATCATCATCAGCAGCAGCAGCAGCAGCATCATCATCATCATAATAATAAGCATCTGCATCATCATCATCAGCAGCAGCAGCAGCATCATCATCATTGTCCTCCGAGTCCTGCTTTCTCCTTCTCCACCTCCGCATCCTCACACCTCCTCCTCCTCCTTCTCCTCCTCCTTCTCCTCCTCCTCCTCCTACTCCTCCTCCTCCTCCTCCTCGTCTGGCCTCCGGTTCCTCCTTCTTCGGCCTTCTGCCTCCTCCTGTCCCAAGAAAGCCCCAAGACGGCCGCAAAAGTAGCCCTGAGACGGCCCTAGAGGCCCCCAACAGGCCCGAAGAGGCCTCACAAATGCCTTCAAGTGGCTCCCCAAACGCTTCCCGAGTGGTACCGTTCAGGTACCACTTGAGTCAGATGCTCGAATCCAAAATCGACGCATCCGAAAAAAACTCGAGAAGCATCCCAAGAAACCGCGACGGGCAGACGGGCGCAAACCAACACATCCTGTGCCCGCCAATCAAGTCACCCTTTCCCGGTCGTCCCCATCTGCTCCTCCTCCCCCTCCCCCCCTGCCCCTCCCCCTCCACTCCTCTTCCTCCTCCCTCGTCCTCCTCCTCCTTCCTCCTCCTCCCCTCCTCCCCCTCCTCCTCCTCCTCCTCCTCCTCCTCCTCCTCCTCCCTCCTCCTCCTCCTGCTCCTCCTCCTTCTCCTCCTCCTCCTCGCGAAGCTCGGGCGGCACTGCACCCCCGCG